AGTTGATTTAAACAATGTTCTTAGCTGTTGATCATTATGTTATGATCAGTTACAAAGGTTACCCGTCTCTACTATGCAGCCTGCACAAGGAACAGCGTGAAGACCATGCGTCCAGTTATCTTCCACTACTTCAATAAAGTTTTTGCGCTCTAAAATCACCTCTTCATGATCATATTTGTATTGGGAAGTAGCAAAAATTATACCTTATCGAGTAACGGATTGAAACCGTGTAAATCAGATCTGTCTTCCTTCACATAGTCATTGTTCACCAACGAATATCACTTCGTCCAGCGGTTCTTATAGGAGGAAATTGCCCTGGAAGGAATTTGAGGATACCATGTGAGGAATTGCGGAGGTTGGAAAAGTTTTCTTGATTGAATCATTATTCCATGAATATTTCATAGTTACGTAATAATGATTGCAAAATGCTCGTTTGATCACAAGGAGCTGATCGCTTTGATAAAACCAGAAAATGCAAATTTCTCGATGAATGGTTCAGTTACATGATTTTCTTTTGACTCAACGAATTCGCACATCTACACACAACTGATAATGTATAAATAATTCCCAAACTTACATAATACTGACAATGAAATTTCGCACAATCTACGCCTCCCGGTAAAATGAATTGTACGATTTATCTCAGTTTTTTTATCTAAATAAATCACTTATTGGCGAAGAAGGATCCTTCCATTTGAAGTGCGTACTTTCGATAGACAAATAAATAATGAAACGACGATGAGGTGAGGTAGTGATTTGTTGGAATGAAATCTGAAAGTATTCAGCAAAAAATCGTCTAGCATTCTAAAGAAAAATACAGCCGATGTCAGAAATTTGATGAAGTGGATGGGTTAGAGTGGTGGAAGTATGAATGGAAACTAGGATTGCAATAATGAAGCACAGAATGTTTTAATTAGGTAGGGGGTGATACTGAATGACACTCGGTTAAGATTATAGACCTCATTCTAGAATTCGCCTCGTTAATGCTGAATGAAGTATTTTCTCGCGAACACAATCATGAGTTTCCTTATGCTTCTCATTGATTCAACTGCAGTGTATATTGATGAAGGTTATTTTCTTCTTTAATTGATCAGGTGACGATCAGTGCATTCAGTTTAATTATTAGTTCACTTTTCAAAACACGGTAAACAATTAAGTTCTTGTCCTTGCTGTAAAACTTGCGTATAACATTGCACATAGAGACATATATTCACACTTTATACATACATATTCACATATCACTGCATATTCACGTCTATAGCGTTCCATTGAAATACTTTCATGACTAGGAATAAAGATCGCAATTCGAAATTACTGCTCAATAAACAGCATCTTATCGCTCCAAGTGGTGATGATAAGATAATGATGATATAATGATTATATATACATTACTATACTCGATTAATGCACTCAATATTGGAAGAACGCAGATAAGGTGGAGATACGAGATTGTCCGATGAACTATGAACGATGTCCCGGAGCTGTGTTACAGTTGTCGGATGTTTTGGCATTCTGCAGTGAAATAATCAATGTAATTGTATTTATCGAACATTATTCCAGTTTTATTGATGTTATTTTTTCGCATTTAGAATCTCTTTGAGGATTGAGAAACTGGAGTTACAGATGTAACCTGTTGGGAGTTCAAGATACAGTTAACTAAACAATGGCAATGATGTGAATGTAGTTAAACTTATTTTCAATTAATCTTTGGAATAACAGAACATTTACTTTTTTCGTATTGATGATATTCATTGTTTTTTATTTCTTAAGAATGCGGATTTAATCTTAGAAGTTGATGAAAACCATATATTTGTTGAATTCGAATTGTCGCCATTCATATTATTATCGTTAATATAAATGTCATTCTTATCGGTGTCATTTTGAGGTAAAGTCTTCGATCTTCTTCTGTTGAATATCGATTGCACTGACTTTGACCGATAAACTTTCCTCCTTAATCTCGTCATCCTCGATTCTTCTTTTCTGGATCTCTTAATTTAACTCACTGTTTTTATTTGAAGATAACAACAATAAGCATCATCATTAAATAATTTCTATTTTCCGGTAGCAGTAACAGTGGCAAAAATGATTATCAAAGGATGGTAATGATGACAACTAACGTGTTCCCTTGTCTCCGATAAACTCGTCTCCAGGGTCGGTGACGGTGTTTCTAACATATCCGGATCACGATGCAATGCAATAATTTTATCGTTGATATCGACACACTCCGCTTTGTTATTTGTCTGCAACTGATTACCTCGCTAAACTTTTCATCAACATACTTCAATATGAACTCGCCACCTTATGAATGGATCATTTATGTGTTACATATGAAAACATGAATGCCGTTTTCGATCTTTTGATGTTGCATCGTCCATCGATTATATTAAGGTGTGTCAAATATCAATGATACTCATTTGCATCTTGCTACGAAAAGTAACGTACAACCCAGACTATTCACACCACACATCCTCACTCAAATGCTCAGGTTGCAAACCACTTCTCAATCCAGCTCTTTTTCTTGGGATTCCTTGCCAGTCATCGGCCCTCAAATTGTGCATACTCCGGGATGTACATTCTGGTATACTCACATTCGATGCAATGAACTGCCTTTTCCATTCAGCATACGGTACAACATCCGGCGATATATCGTCTGTTATTGCAGGAACACCTCTGTAAGAGGTATTGTTATTGTTCCATTGATTTTTGTTGGTGATATTCTTGATATTAGAGAACATTTATCAAAAAATCTCGCGAAATTTTGTATCGAATACCATCATAAAGTATTTTTCGATTACAACTAAAATCCAATGTTTTTCGGACTCATTTAATATTCAGAAGAAAGTAAATAAATAGGAGATATACTTTGAAAAATGATGTGAAACAGAAAATAAGGCATTATTAACAAGAAAGCATCTGTTATCAATACGAAGCAATATGCGAATAAAACCAGAAACCTTTTTGAGTTGGTCTCGATATTCATATCAGTTGGTCTAATATTTGAATACTTATTGGCAACATATGATTCATTGCTATCATTATTATTTTTAACTGCATTAATGCTCTGATCATTTTCTTTAATCATTTCATTTGATGTTCCTGCGTTGTGACCTGTTGATGCCTTTGGCGGATCTGCATCAATGTATGGAATATCAACTGTAAATATTCATTCTCTATTATTTAGCGATTTAGTTTTCAAATACTGTATGGTTGTATTAGTTTTTTCATGATTCTTTGTTCGTACTGATGTCATGAATTTCAGTCGTTGATAAATCACATTTTTCATTTCTCGATCTGATGCAAGACCGATTATCGTTCTATCTATTACGATTTGGACTGGAATGATTTCCTAAGTAAGCAAATATTGGAATTCAATTATATGTTCATAGAAACTTCACAGACGTATCTGATTGCGTAGATGAACAATAAATTTAACCTTTTCGATTGTTGATTATTATCGTAGTACAGTTTTGACTGGTACTGCTAAGGTCATCGTTACAGCAAGTGAATTGACGTCTTCTCGCTTTGCCAAGTCTGACATTGCATTGCTATGAATATCCGTTGTTGGCAGTTTATCATTAGTTTTTATTGATTCTTTAGAAGATCAATAAAAAAATCGAGCATTGTTGAAGTGTGCGTATTGGTGAACGTTTATTTTAAGGAAGTGTCATTATTATGCCGATTAATTTAGAGTAACTGTCAAAGAAAGTATAGTAATAAACCCACATCAGTTTCCTTTGAAATCTTCTCCTGCGTTCTTCGGCGTCATCGAATGATAATGAAAGAGGTAAAAAACGACGTTTCGGTTTATTCGGCGGTTTCACTTGCTTATTGTTATTATTATTAGAATTTAAATTATTCCTATCATGAATATTATTATCATTATTATCATTTGTAACACCGCTATTGCTTCGAATAAGAGCCATTTTCATCTTTCTGAATGAGTTCATGCCTATAAGTTGTATGACCATTGCTGGATAAAATAACATTGATTGACTGATGTACCTCAAACGAAAACATTGTTTATATGATGGAGGTGAGGAAATGATAAATATTCACCCGATGAAAAGTAAATGAATCAATGAGGAATATAATATTGAGTATATTCACGAGAATGTTCCAACGACAGCATATTTGTTGCGGCATGAACAATGACAAATGACAGTAACTTAGTGATAACAGAATGACGTTGATGGGCACTCAAGCATTCTTATCAGTTGATTTGCATCGTTTTTGATATCGTTCAAAGTGTATTCAAAGATATTAATAAAAACTTATCAACAAACTACAAATTACGATTATAAAGTTGGTTGTATGCATTAATTTTCCTCCAGCATTTTGTCATTAAATGAATTTTTCAGATGAGCCTCAGCAATTAATGTATCGGAACTTATCAAAAGTTATGCGTTTTTTGATTTTATCANATTTTGAGGTGAAACTGAGCAATGAGCAAAATCGCTTCAAAAGTTCGTGAAAAAAAATGCTCGAAGCATGGCGATTGATAATGACGTTCCCACGTGACGTCAGCGTTGTGAATTCGCATTGCTGAGCGACAGTCAACACATTACAGATTAATGTTCGATATTCTTAAGGCAACTTTGATTAATGTAAGTGGTGCAGAACGCTTCCACATAACCAAAAAAAAATTTTATCGGATCAAATCAACTGAAATCGTTTGAACACATTACAGAAAACCAGCAGATAACGACAAATGCGAAATGAGACTACTAAAAAGTTGAACTGGAACAAATATCGATTTTGAGAGAACACTTGATACAGTTGGTCACCAAGGCATCGATTCGAATTGATATCCTGGTTTAGCTTTACGGCAGAGAACCATTTGCGGTTGTACCTTTGGCCCAGTAAGAACGTGTTCTTTGCCATTATATGATGCACTCGCCCTTTCGTTACGGATATCAACCTGAAATTTATCTGATGTAGCTTTATGAAAGGTGGCAAAATATCATAAGTAAATGCTTAGCTACATCCCAACAGCATCGAGAATTCAATGATGATGTTCCAGGTGCTATCGTGAATAAACCATCTCATTGAATTGCTACCAGTCTAGCTAGTGAACCGCACACGGAGTAACATTGGATTCACTGAAAATTATGCCAGACATTTCTAGATGAATTTCGTGGCAACATTATTTTGTGCAGCAGACAGTTTTATTAGTATACATTTAAAAGTATGAATCTAACCTTGCCAAGAATTTGTTTTCCATCATAGTCGACAACACACGGTGAAATAATTCCTTTGGGATAATCAACATAAACAGGTATCCATTCCTTTTGTCCGAACTGACCGCATACCGAGAACGGTATCCAACTGTAGTTAAAGCCACGGACAGCATCACTCATTTCAACCAATACTTGGAGGGAACCAACTTTACTGCTGTATTCATTATTGAACCAACCGAATGATGCCGCAACCTGCAGTAAGAGGTCAGCTTTTGGACACATTACATTATTATTCAATTTCCCGTTTCTTCCAAATATTCAAAAAAGTGTGCGCGCAGAAGTGCATCAGTCAAACACAAGGTCAGATACAAGCAACACTCACACGTCCATTATCATTCCAAATACGACCCATAATCGGTTCACCTTGCATATACCAAAGTGCAACGTATTGATCTGGATTCTGTCCAGCGATTGTGTCCAGTGATTTGCCAAGTGCTTTGACAAGATTCTTCGTTGGGAATGGATCACCCATTTTCAAATCCAACCATTCGTCGAGCATTACCAATGGTGGTGGTGGACCTGTACTAATAATGATGAAAATTCCAAAACAAGTCACTGACGGCCACGAGGCAAGACAATTATGCAATAGTTATCAATGCTATTTGATAGCTGTCGTGTCTAGCGCCAAAAGCCGGCATAAATAGATGGTATAAATTGAGAGAAGGGGGTGCGTGAGTAGACTTGAAATGATCGCGCGAGGAGCCGGTGGTATATTGGGGTCAAGATTGGCATTCAGGATCCGATGAGTTAAGACGACGTACGTTCGAGTTCGCTTCATCGGTTCAAAATCTTTGGTGAATTTCGATATTGTCGTCAGAGAAATGTGAAAAAGAATAGAGAAAATGAAGAGCGCTTAGTTTCGGCAATAACTATTGAACACTTTTGAGTGCAATAATTCAGATACATATGAACACTCGCATATGTTTGAATCTTTCAGTGTAGACGATTAAGGAACTTCGAAAATTACTGTATTGTGATATCAATAATGAGTTAAAAAGTTCATTGGATAATTGATTGATGAGTTGATATTAACCTGGAGCTGGCACGGGTGGAGGTGGTGGGGGCGGAGGGCAAATGCCACATTCACAATTCGGTGGTCCACCCTTGATGTTACGTACAATTATCCACATATTACCAAGTGGTGTACCTTGATAACTTTCTGCCTTGCCATCATGCGAGAACCAAGCCTGAAGACGAGTTATTCAATTTTGGATGATCAGATGCCTTTTATTTGGTAATATAAGGTCGAATCATTCAGTTCAAGCGATCATATCGTTCTACTGTTAGCTCAATGCGTGGTATTTTCCAATGAACCGAACTGAACAACTCTACCGACGTCATCACGACATACTGCACATACTTCTGGCCGTAGGCAGTCTTTCTGAACGAAACACATTGAATCTGATATAATAACAAGAACCAACAGTCTCGGTCTTGTTATCCAAATATCCCAAAATCGCTCCTCCAGGTCTATCCTTCCAGAAGATCGGTAATGAATCACCACACTTCACCATCTGTCTATCCTCCGTTTTTTCGAATCGATCTTTGTAACGAATCCATTCATACCAATAACCTAACGAATTGTGATCGCCAGCATATTGTAGAATCTTAATTCATATAACTTTAATGTGCATCATACAATTTCAGTCATACACAAATTGATCAACAGACGGTGTACGGAGACGATCAACAAGCATCAGATGATTCGAATCCGATAGATTTACTTCCCATCGAACTCACCACTTCAGCAATCAACACCATAAGCGTACCTGAATCTGCCCTCCTAGGTCTTTAATACCTGTGAGCTCAGCTTTTTTGTACGGGAATGAACACTCAATAACACCTCCGTTGTTCCACGCTCTTCCATGCAGCGGCTGTCCGTTCTTATACCACAACGCCACATACATATTATTTTGTCCGAGCGCCTTAACCGGATTATCGGGAAATGGCGATCCAATCGGGCCAAATGCCCAAGTATCTTCCTTTGCCGGAGGATTCGGCATCGTTGCACCAAACAAGAACTCTTCCTAACAAAGCACCTACTGTGCTAAAACCACAGTGAATAATGATTGGAAACAGTTCCTTTTTATAGACGTTTTTTAAGCAAATTCATTGCAAAATGCTCATATAAAATGCATATCATAATTAACAAAAGAATTTGACTACAAGTTAGTTCGTGGCTCTTGAATTTTCAACTTCTATTGCAATTTGCTCCATCCATCAGAAATGCAATTAGATTGTTAACAGATGCAAAAATTTTGTGAAAATGAAACTCTGAGATTATTCAACTGGCACGCGGTGGTTTCTTCTACGAAATCGCGTTCTGAACAACAAGTTGAAATATAGGTGCAACGGAATGCTTTATTCATGCTTGTAACTGATAACATAGACTTTCATGGTTGTAATCAACTCGCTTAACTGTACTCCTGGTCGTGTATCGCACTCCTCTAATTAAGAAGTTAGGAAGATATAATTTTCCTATGATTTCGAAAGAAGCAATTATTGAGACCATACATTTCGCGAAATTTCCTTAATGGAAACGGGGCATCTGAAGGCGAAGAAAAGATGCGAAAAGATGCAAATTCGACTTTTGAGCAATGCGAACGCATGTTTACCATTGTGTGATGGTATTAGGAAATGCGGACTGTGTGGTGTATTTGGAGAATATTTATCATTGTTTACGCGTGACACGTTCGTGATA